CGCCGTCAGTGGCGTGTTTCACGCCCAGAGCTCCTTGCAAGATGGAGTTCAGAGCTCTACTGACGCCCATGGCGTGCTTCCTAATGATTTCCGCATTTTCCTGAATCAGCTTCTTAAATTGGGTTCTAGTTTATGCGTGTTTCTCGTAAGTGGACTGGTTTCATTTGAAGAGTTCAGTCTTCAGGGAGATAACGACATATAATACGTTGAAAATCAATCGACGTTTCGAAGAAACGTGTCAGCTCTATCTTTATGATGTAGTCAAGCCAGAAACCATCATGAAGCAAACAGAAAACAGGCTTGGATTATGAATTAATGACGGTTTCATTTGAAAATGGAAGATCCATATTTGGAGTCTGAACGACTCTCAGGTCCTCAAGGACACTCTTTCTTGAAGTTGGTATATATATCTGATGTAATTCTTACAGTCCTTAGTATTATTTATAAAAGAAAGTCGTGCCACATAATTATCTACTCAGATATAAATAATATTTGTTTCCTACTGAACTGAAAGATCTCCGTTGTAAGGCCGATGTAAGCACCAGTAAATCATGAAAATTAAAGTACTCGTTCGAACGTAATAAAATTCCACAAAATTCAAAATTGTTAGTATCAGAATGTGTTACATTTCTGATTCATATAATTAAGATATGAACTATAATTCACAAATTTATACTTGGAAATGCAACGTTAAAACACTGTACACGTAATACGTTCAGCACGGGGTCGCTTACCATACACGTAGTTACTGTAACTGTCACCAAGCGCTAGATTCCTGTCCATATAGTTTGCTGGTAGAATTGTCCTTTCTTGGGGTGTCTTCTGCAGTCATCCATAGTACAAGGAGGTTGTTCCATTCGGTTCGGCCTTCAGCTGTCTCTTGAACGATGATTCCAAGCGACAGGGACCCTCGACGTACGGACTCTTACTGTCACAGAATGGGATGCCTACTGGACCTGCTGATGTTAATGAGCAAACCGCATTTTGCTTTGTTTAATCTATACGACGCCGGTCACGGTAGCCGAGCGGTCTAAGGTAGGCCGCACACCGGCATGCGTCATGACATGTAACAGTCAAGACACAATGTCTACGACATGCCGCAAAGAAAGGAGCACAGTTGAAACGAATGAGCTTATGAAAACCGCCGCACACCGGTCTGAGTAATGATGCTGACTTCAGCTTCATGCTGACCCATCATGAATTAAGAAAAAGGTCTCATGTCTTGATGCTTGTCTTCACGCAGTTGGTGTGCGGCCGTCCTAAGGCGTGCATTGTCTTCACTCGTTCGTAAGTGGGGATCGTGGGTCCAAATCCCACCCAGGGCATGAATGTTCAGTGTTTGCGCGTGTGCGTTTTTCTGTGTTTGTGTACAGGTAGAGGCCTTGCGATGAGCTGATCACCCGCCCAAGGCGTTCTGTCTAGTAAACGGAAGTGAAACGGAGAGTTTCATGAGGTAAGCCAAGGCCCAAATTGGGGCTGTAGCGCCAAAGGAACAGAAATGTGTTCATATTTTTGCAGGGAAGCAGAGATCCTTGTAACTCTGAGTGAAGGTGTGTGCACGAGGTTCATCTGTCCTGTTTTTGGTTTCACATTTTGTGAGGAGTAAGGACGGTAGCCGAACTATTGGTTTCAATCAGAGGTTTACTTTCATCTTCTCTTCGAATGTGTTCATTGAATCTGTATCCTACTGTAACAGTCCAAACCTTTTAATACTCTTTAATGGACGCTATGTTCCTCTTTAGTCATTTCAATAGAGTGACTGATTTATAAGGGAGACCCATCCATTAAGAAGTTATGACATGCTTTTGGAATTTAGACAGGAACAACTGCCTTGTTTTGTTGCCTGGAGCTTGGGTGAACGGAAAGGCATGTCTGTAGTTTGCCGAAGATGTAAATGTTGTATGCTAATAGGGTAGCTGTTATAAAAGTGTCTTCGGAAGGGTGTAATTAGACCCTAAACTAAGAAATAACCGCTTTCACATGTAGGGTTCCGGGTTCAATATCTTTGGATCTCTTTATTCTAAAAGTTAGTAATATGATTGTCTAGTAGTGATGGTGTGATGAATTGGCAGTTAAAATCAGCCATTAGGAAACTATTCTTGTCTGGAAGAAAGGCCGTCGGTTCAAATCCTATACAGTGATGAAGTGACGCTCCCGCAGAATAGAGTGGGCAGAAGCACTTGGCACTTAGAATTCATGTCAGACGTCATTGAGCTGGTCTCTCCAAGTTTATCTAAATTTAACATTCTTTATTTGGTTCGATTAATCTTTGATAATAATAAAGGGGCACATTACTCCGCACTTGCCAATAAAGATATAGTGTTTGCTTCTGAAATAAACAATTTTTGATTAAGCAGAAAATAGAGTATTTTATTTGTATCAGTGGACTAGTTTTAAATGTGTAGTCTCCGCGTTGCCCCAGTTATTACCGTGGCACAACCCTGAGAAGAGTCAAAAGTGTTCTACCGAAGTGGGCAAATAAATGAGTCAAGTGTTCTACCGAAGCGGGCAAATAAATAAATAAACATAAAGATAGATAGGCAACGGTTACGAGAAGTGGTGAACAACGGCTGCGAGAAGTGACAGCCGAAGTGCGGTTGTACTACCCACCGCATAAGTTAGCTCCCTGCAGTTAAGAAAAGTAAAGTTGTCTCTGTGCTTAATTAATTAAGATCACGCCATTATAACCTATAGGAAAACGGGGATCTAGCTCCACAATTCTTGATTTCTCTTTTATCCTTTAAATTCTGGAGCAGATCTAAATAGTATTTAAAAAATTCAGTTCTTGCCGAAGAGAAAACTGGCTGCATCTCCATTAGAAAGACCAACTGGTTAGTCGTTTTTCTTATAAGAAAATACCCTTTATACTGGAAATTTTGAGTGGAGGAGGGGTTTTATATGAGCTTCAGCGGCTTTGTGTATTTGCTCACAATTTTTTATATGAAATCCATAAATGCAATTTGTGAACAAAATGAAGAGTGTATAATATTAAACAAAATGGGTTGTACAGCGAATTGTTGCTATATTGGAATGGGACTTTGAACCGTTGGCATGATCTGCTCTGCAAAGCCTGTACTGACAGAGGACTTGTGTGTAATCCAAAAGGAAGAATTTTCAGTAACATGTTATATGCGCGAAATGTACATTTCACGAAAAGCGAAACGTATTTATAAAAGACAAACCCATCTTCTGGTCAGAGAGGATGTTGCATAAGGACTATTACCGCAAGACTTCAGTTGGAAAAAATCTCTGGTCGTGGGACTCAAGGGGTCTGACGCCAAGATGAACTGATTGGCGTAAAGTAACTTTGACTTTGACTTTGACTTTGAGGATTGGAACTAGCATTTGACATAATTAGAGTGGCCAGAGTCAGCTGCCGGGTAGTTCGTAAGTGAAGAACAATTAGAAGTCGGCCTGTGAAGATTTGACGTGTGATTTGAAGACATTTTGTGTGCTGCAGTGCAATAATATTTGAGGTGTGAAGGTTATAGTTCCCGTGTTAAAGTCCAGTGCCAGGCAACTGATAGTGAAAACAGAGTCAAGGCTTAACCATTGTTCAGATCTGTCACCTAACAACGATTAGTTAAAGCAAATATTGAAGATTTTATTTGTGTGTTATAATTTCAGTATTTTGGAAGTGTTCTTCTGTATTTGCCGCTAGTGAATATCCAATAAATCGATTCACCAATCCAAACACGCGTCTAAATTCACTCAAACACGTGACAATATCCTAACCTTAGAAGGAAATCTGCCACGTTCATTAGGAAATCCACATACACCAAAATATTCTCCTCTGCGAGAGATATAGTTGAGTATTTTGAGATCTTTTAGAAATCCTCTTAACCCAAAAGGATGAGTTTCACCCCCCGAGATCCTCCTGCAGTAGCGGCGTCCGTTTACTGGATCCAGCGTCAGAGATAAATAGCTGTTTGGATGTGCAATATGTCAACCCTCGCCTCCCACCAACCCCCCTCCACCTCACTCTACCGGAGGGCGCCCATTTCTTATGTAGAAGAAGGAGTCTCATATCAGAGCTTGACAGATTCGCGGAATCATCAGACTAGATGCGGCAGCATCCGGGTACTTACAGTGGGGGATCAGACAAATTGCCCACCCTCTTCACGAAACCACCCCTTCCACTACACACGAGACAGAATGCATTTGTCCCATACAAGATTCTTCCTTCCGATCTTTCTACCCCATATCCTCACTACATATGTATATACGCATGCGCGCTGACAACTCGATATTGTAATGACATTTTTGTTGGATTGGTTTGGGGACAAAATGGGAACGCTAGAACCTGAGAATGATTTTGAAGCCGGAAATAAGAGAGAAAGAAGATGATGTAGGAGTATGAGGGACGTATCAAGCTGAGTAGCTGGTAAGTCAGTTTCCAGGGCCTCAGAACTGCTCATTAGCCTGGATTCTCATGAAAATAATTTATTAATTTACGTCAGGTACTGTGTTTTGTGGAATTTTGAGTTGCATAATTTGGAAGATTAATTATGGGGAAGTGACTTGGATAACTTCAGAACAATTATTCTTAAAATATTTAGGGATTATATCTTACCTCATAAGAAATACACGTGCATCTCAGTTACAAACGTTATTCTCTTAATGTTACGTAAAGAAATAATCGCTCATATTCTGATAACCAGAACAGTCATATGATTTATACCGAATTACACCTGTTGGCACTTGTAGTTGACGCTCTGCTTTAAATTGTTGTAAAAACAATTTATATAATAATCAGCATTCTTGAACCCTTCTTAGTTTCATATGGCTGCGTAACATCATGATCAGAGGAAGCAGCGAGAGGATAGGGCAAATGGCATAATGAGGACCCTCATAATTTCTACTCTACACCTAATATTATTATGGTCATCAAATCTAATAGGATTAAATGTTCGGAACACGTAGCACGCATAGGACACGCAAGGAATGCACACAAAAGTGTAATCGGCAAACTAGAAGGAGGCGGGAGGCTGCCAGTGATGTCAGGACAGGTTCCCAGCGACGCGCTCTTGTGAACTCGGGCATGAGAACTTGGGTGCTATGACAAGCAAAGACTTTTTCCTTACTGGTTGATTGTTAAATTCCTCATGAAGGGCTCTGGTCAGGAGTTTTGTTTCTATTGTTATTGCTACTACTGCTGCTGCTGTTGTTGCTACTACTTCTACTGCTAATGCTGCTACTACTTCTACTACTGTTACTGCTACTATTACTATTACTGCTACTGCTGCTACTGCTACTATTACTCATGCCACTACTACTACTGCTGCTGCTACTACTACTACTGCCACCATCACCACTACTGCTACTACTACCACCACTTCTGCTACTACCATCACCATTACTACTACTGTCACCACTACCACTTCCATCACCACCACCGCTACTACTACCGTCACCAATGCTACTGCTACTACTACCGTCACAACTGCTACTGCTGCTACTACTACCATCACCACTGCTACTACTACTACCAACACCACCACTGCCGCTGCTACTACTACAACCACCGCTACTACAATCACCAATACTGTTGCTACTATAACTACCACCACTGCTGCTACTACTACTACTACCATCACCACCACTGGCGCTGCTACTACTACAACCACAACTACTACCATCACCAATACTGTTGCTACTATAACTATCACCACCACCGCTGCTACTACCACTACTATTATCACCACCACCACTGCTACTACCACCCACCACCACTGCTACTACCACCACTACTACTACCATTACTACCACAACTGCTGATATTACTACTCCTGCTCTTAAAGCTGCCATTACTGGAAGGATATGTTTTCCTTTAATCTGTTAGTGCGAATATTTTGAACTTGTAGAAACATCCGTGCCGTTGCAATGTTGTACCTTTGTGGATGTATTGAAACATGTCTGTGCTACTTTTTGGTGGTCTGTGGGGTTTCTGATCCTGTGTTTCTCAACCAGTGGGAGTTGTGTCAGTTGAGTGAGTCGTGAAATCTCGAAAATAAGGATTTATTACAATGATTAATACAAAAAAAAATTGTACGTAACTCTTGAAATATACGTTTTTATGAAAGAATCTATGTTTTTGCTACGATGATACTGTAGTTTTTTTGTTACAAAAGAATTGACGGGGCGAAAGATAAAAAACGACTTGAAATGATTGGCTTAGATGAGAAATTACTCAATTTTTAACCTTTGTTCTAGGAAACCTATAGTTTTAAAAATGGGGCCTTTCTAACTCAACGATGAACAAGTTACAGATTTATAATGATTTATAGGCTCTATTCCGTACATGTTTGGTTGTTGTGGAAAATCTACAGATCCTTATATATCAACGGCTGTGAGGGGATGTGCTTACCATGACCGAGGAACAAGTCTGCGATAAGGTGTGACGGTTCGTCTTTCAGAAGGGTTGCCTGTTTGCCGAATCTTCACATCCATGATTCATGCAGGGCTAGAAGAGGAAAAGGAATTTGGATGAATGGTTGGGTGTATAAAGGGGCCGTGTTGAAGTGGATGGGAGAGAGAAGGGTGGAAGAAAATTCTCTTCTTTGCTTCATGTTCGCGAACACGGAGCAGCAAATAGAAGGAGCGCGTTCTGTGCAAAGGCTTGTGAGAGAACAGGGGACCTGGTTAAAGATGAAGCTCTCTGGTTTTGTTTGAACGAATCAAGAACTTTACCTTTTCTCTTTAGTTTTTATTCGTATTTTTCTATTCTGCGTAAAGCGTAACCCTTTTTATTTCAGTCTGGTTCCTGAATTTCATCTCGTCTCTCTCATAAAGGGAATGTCCATATTTACCAGGGACATTTCTGTCTTTGTATGATTGGAAAATTTTATTCTCTCTGAATTATTACTGCTGCCTACTTTATTCAGAGATTCTTCGGTATTTCCAACAGCTTCATTCTTCTAATAAGTAGGCCTATAGGTAGACAGGTGTCAGGTTTATTTTCATGTTCTATTGCTTAGTGACGTGGAAATCGTTAGCTGTAATATGATTAGAGGCTTCTTCACTTCGGTGATGTCTAAAAAAAATCGATCTTAATCGAATCCGGCGAATCGTGGGTGGTTCTATTCGAGTTCAGAATGTCAGAAAATCTTCATCCCACAAAGCAAAACTAGTGCAGCGCGTATAGCTAGCCAACGGCACGATAAACATCTCGCGTAAGCGCAGTCAACAACAGGACGAATGTATATAGCTCGTTATTAGGCAAAAGTCGGCGCACCAATACACTGACGAGATAGATATCACATGACGTGTTTTCTGTACGGTATGCGTCATCAACAATAGAATTGTTTCCTGCGCGGTCCGTGCTGCAGCTATATAACGAGAGTTATGAGCCGTAAGTTCAGAGCGAATTGGAACCAGGAGTACAGAAGGGTGCAGGAGGTCGGCCTCTGAGTATTAAAGTGATTTTAAGATTTTAGGTATAATACTTGGAGTGTGTAATCCAGTGAGATTATTATAGTTTCTGGTGAAGACGGGGAATCCTACTGAGTGTGCAGTCGTGAACTGGATTGTGTGTAAATCAGCGGTAACGCTGTATTGCCTGTCTTTAAATATGATTGAGAGAAATTGTAATCAAAGTGCTAATAAATCCAATCATCCGAACTAGAGCCCGTCACCATACACATGACACTATAAAGAGTACTGTCTGGTAAAAGTTCATCGAAGTTTCGGAGTATCATAGCGTTTCTTCTTCAGGATCGAACAGTAAGAGAAGCAAGAAAATTGCAAGAATTAGGTGCCACGGCAGTACAACGCACTTTTCATTGCTATCGCTGAGAGAAACTCAAGTCCAACAAATTTAAACAAATTACAGCATGCCACAATGGTTACCCGTCTTGACTACAGTCATTCTCGTCATCTCACAGCTCTGTCAGCCAAAATACTAAGTCTAGCATCACAGAAATCTGTTACTATTTTCACGATAAATCTCTGCTGGGTCCACTCGGCATGGGGGCCACAGGTGGGCCTATTGTAGCCTGCCTCGGGTGATTATGATGATGGAGAATTTGGTGGAATGAAGATTGGCAGGGGAAACTGAAGTACTCGGAGAAAACCCGCCCCAGCGCCACTTTGTCCACCACAAATCCCACTTGACCAGACCAGGGATCGAACCCGGGCCACCGCTGTGGGAAGCCAGCGACCAACCGCTTGAGCTATGGCGCGGATTTCTCTGCTCTGACTACACGCGTCTCAGTATACGGTTTTACATACTGCCGCATAGATCATTAATTCCATCTGTTGATCTGCATTTCTGGTTTCTGTGAAAACATAATCGGTTTTGTCGCCCATAGATCTATGTATATCACACTGGTTCTTTCTACAAGCAAGAAGGTCGCGAGTTCAAGTCCCGATGAGACCATTGGATTCTTTGAATTGACCTACTCCTTCCAGCCGCACTATGGCCCTGGGGTTTACCCAGCCTCTAACAGAAATGAGTACCCAGAATTAATTAAATGATCTTCCTGGGGACTAAAGCGTGGCCGGCGCGTAAGGCTGACAACCTTACCGCCATCTTTGAGCCGATTGTCTAGATAATGTGGGACCCTCGGCGTCTCACAACCCTATGGGCCTTCACGGCCTGGTAGAGGGATAGCTTTACTAGCATATGACACAAGGTATTTCGTGACCAACTTATGGACTCTTAGCTTCTCAAGAATGATTGCGCTCCGTACATTTAATTAGTTGTATTTATCATAATCATAGTAATCAGCAATATTTTATTCCGTGCAACTTAGTGCAGTCAGTGGCCCTTAAGAGGGACGGTTCTGACAGGGTAGCAGCCACCTGTCCTTCCGTACGTCACTTTGTTGAACGCAAATCTACATTCAAGGCGTCCCGACAGGTATCACAAATTTAGAAGCTAATTCTTCAGTCAATCCTAAGTGAAAGAAGCTGCACCCACATTGGCCATATTCTCAAAGTTTTCGGAGCTGTGGGAGCTTTACATACAAAACCTGTTGGACGAATGCACTGTGGACACGAGATGAACAAATTCAGCGAATTTTTGATGCCGCAAAATGCTTCGTTGTTTCGTTAAGGGCACACGGGTTCCTGTCATAGCTCAGGGTATTACTCGCCGGCATCCCACCGCGGTTGCCCAGGTTCGAGCCCAGGTCAAGTCATGTGGGATTTGTGGTTGACAAAATGGTACTAGGACAGGTTTTCTCGGAGTACTTCGGTTTCCCCTGTCAGTGCTCATTCCACCAATTGCTCCACATTCATCATCATCTATCATCCAGTGCTGGTATAATGGACCAGTTAGTGGCCGACGTAGCAAGTGGACTCAGTCTCACCCCACCCCAAGAAACTAAATTAAACTAAGCGGTCAGTAGTGAAACGAACCCAGCCGTGCGTCAAAACTGACGGCGGACATTTCTGGACAGTTGCTTTAAGCTACATAAACTGTACAAAGTAATAATCTTATACCTTTCCCAATATCAAAGTTTTTCCAATAACAAAATCTTTCAAGTCAAGTTACATCTAAGATAATATTGACTTCCATACCGGTGAAAGTGGGATCCGTACTGATGTGTAATATTTCACACAGATTGACGTCAGAGGTCAGCTCCGGAACTTCTGACGTAAAGTCAGGGAATAGGCTTCGTACACTGATTTCCACATTGGAAATGCCGGCGACTTCCCACCGCAGCGGCCCGGGTTCCATCTCAGTTCAAGTAATGGCGGATTTCAGGTGGACACAGTGGCCCTGGGATAGGTTTTCTGAGAGTCTTTCAGTTTCTCCTACCAATTCTCAGTTACCAAATGTTCCAATGCATTAATCTTCCTATCACCAATGCTATAGAGTCTGTAATCTGAAACTGTGGTTAAGTAACAAAATCAATTAAAATAGATATTAAAGATGGAGGTCCGCCTCTGTGGTCTAGTGGTCAGCATTCCTGGCTACAGATGAAGAAGTCCAGGTTCGATTCCCGGCGCCACCAGATTTTTTTCGGAGAAGTAGTGGGTCTGGAACGGGGTCCACTCAGCCTCGTGGGGATAATTGAGCAGCTATTTCAAGGATATAGCGACTCCTGTCTAAAAAAAAAACGAAATTAACGGCCATGGGGTTTCGTTGCTCTGACCACGCGACACTCTCTATCCGCAAAAGTTGGCACTAACTTCGCCGAGAAGCTGCGGTCGCTCGGTCGGTATAGTTCGCTTGAGGGCTAAAGCCACGAAGTATTTTATTAAAGATGGAGTCTGTATGTATCAGCGGATCTTCAGCATGCAATGTACTCGTCCATTAGGTGCAGAAAAACAAGAGCAGGTTCAGTATGAAAAGTTAACCATCTTGAAATAATAATAAAATATAAATAATATGATATAATAAAATAATAAAATTATACCGCAACTATTTCCTTCAAAATCTGCCTCAGTCATCCAAATAGTTTCCATCTTTCGATGCTGTATAAACGTTGTTTTCGAAATGGCGCCACTATATAGATCAGTAATATGCAGACATCTTGGCGGCGCGGGGCACGACAGATTGAAGTGTTTTGGGTTAATTTGCAGCGACTTTAGATTTACATGGAATAAACTGGGAGGTTGTCAAAGCGGTTGGAAAGAGAAGAATGTCAAATTAATCTTGAAACCTTCAGGCATGGATGCGATGCCACTTCTCGGAAAATTAAAAAGTTGGGAAATGCAATAACAGCAGTAAGAACTCTTACCCCTTCGCTACAATTTGTTTCTTTATCTCGAAAATCATATATGAAAAAAACATACAGCCATAAAATATGTTAACACCACATCTACACGGTGCCAAATCCCAGAAGACTACTTTCTTCCTA